GTTTTGATGACACTTCTTGCTCTCTTAAAAAGTTATTAAGAGTTAAAAGCTTTTTTTTTTAATATAACTCATTACAATTCTATAAGCAGTTTTTATAAAACCGCCGCAATGGAAGTTACAAACAATCACCGGCACACAATGAAGAGTCACTCTACCACATTAAGAGCAATAAAGATTTTGCGATCTCCAATGAACAAAATGCGTATTAATAAATGGCCCACAGTGTTTTAGAGTAAGCAAGATATATACCTTGCGATTCAAATAACTTAGGCAAATGTAATAAATATTTGCTGCACGAGATAAACGAGTTCATTAGGTGACTCGTATGACTACGGTAACTTATCAACTTTTATATTATCTTATAATCAGGTATAATAGTCATCTAAGTTACAAGAAACATGTCCACACTGTCTGCCGCACGAAACGAGTTCCAAAATTATTATATTTGTAAATAAATCACATGCTAGTAACTGGTTGACAACGGTCAACTAAGTATATGTGAGTATGTTGTAATATTACAATTTATTTCAATTTTAAAAAAGTATTGTTATTAGGATTGTAGAGTTCATTTTATTTTCTAACCAATACATACCTAATTTTAATGCTAAATATCAACAATGGCAGCTGAAACAGAAAATATAGAAATGTTTGCCTATCCGAAGGCGCACTAACATATGTGCCTGTATAAACATAAAATTCATCAACCAAAGTTGGTATTAGACATGGTAAGCAGCCACTATTTGTCAATTATTTCCTATCTTTAAACATTTTTTAAATTTTATTTTTAAACGAATTTTCAAGTATTCTCAGTATATATGAACTTAGTTTCGCTGAGGACAAAGGAAATGAAATGGATGATCATCTAGCTAAAGGAGTGGCGCCAACCCAGCCGATAGGACTAGACAATTTTTTGCAATGCCCCGTACATGATTACATACAGAACAGCTGCGACATAAAGAAAAAAAATAAGGGTGATTACTAGCCGGAAATATCGCCAATCGAAAAATGGAAGTGATGTTCTATTGAGCAACTACGGGAGGACACAAGAGGTGACCGTTTACACAGCCAGTCAGAGGACACTAGCCTTGTCGTCGCCAAAAATCAACTCCGGCGTAGCAAACAAAGCAAGAAGACTTATCCGTAATATGGATTATTGGTCCTAAAAATATTTTTGGCTACGAGGTAGTTATATGACTTGTTAGCGAAGTCGGGAACCCTTCTCTACGTATCCGAAAAATATACTACTAACAGCAAAACATAGTAAGACTTTGCTCATAGTTTTAAAATTGTTAATTTAATCTTCAAAATCTATTTCGTCTCTCTCAAAGTAATCCCATACACTTTTGTCAACAATTTCCGGTGTAGCCTTCAATCCGCGTAGCGATTCACCTTTATTGTTTCAATTGACTCAAAATGGTTTCCCTGGAGTGGTCGCCTGAGTTCGCTGAATAGTCAGAAGTCACACGGAGCTAAATCAAGCGAATACAGCGTTTTCCGCACAATATTGGTTGAAAATTTGCCGTAAAACTAACAAGTAATGCTCTGTCCGACGATGCACTGTCGTGGTGTGAAACCTTAGAGTTGTCGGTCCATATTTCCGACTTCTTTTTCCTAGTAGCTTCACGCAAATGACGCATAACACTCAAATAGTATTACTTGTTGACAGTTTGGCCAATCGGAAGGTAATCGGAGTGCATCACTCCTTGATAAACCAGGAAAACTGTCAACAAAACCTTGATTTTTGTCATGCTTTGACGTGGTTTCTTCGGCTTCAGCACAGCTTTGCCATGATATTTGGCCGATTGATCGTCTGCTTCCGGGTCATGAGTATATCTAAGACTCATCGTCAACATGTTTCTGGTAGGCGGAAAGCATTGTTTCACAGACGTTAACACGATGCTGTTTTCTGAAAAAAAAAAAAAAAAATTGTGATTTTTGAACCAGTCGGGCTTTCACTTTTCTTAGGTCCAAATGATTTTTCACAATGTGTTTCATTGAACCTCCTGATATCAAAACGATGCCAGTAAGATCTCTGATTGTGAATCGTCGATACGATTGTCATCAAATATCAATTCCTGATTTTATTGACATGATGATCATTAGTTGAAGCTGATGGCTGCTTTGAACGTGGTTCGTCATCAAGGCGTTCTCGACCCTCTTAATTTGTACCAACAAAACACACTTGATTGCGGCAAACAATTATCACCGGAGGCCTTTTTCAACATTCTGAATGTTTGGGTACCAGAAATTTGATTCCGCACAAAATTTTGTTGAACTTCTTTGTTGAGTAAATTCACTCATCGTAAACTTTACTTTATGTAATTCACAAATACAAGCGATTAGAAAAAATTTATGACTATTTCGATGTATAATTTAGTAGAGATATCACTGATCCTTATATCGACATACAAAAAAAAAAAAAAATATTTCTACAAATGGGTCTATCCGTGAAATTCCAATTATAAAGTCTTACTATTTTTTGCCCACAGTAATGCAACCACATGCGGGATAGTGAGGCAGATGTGGCGAAGCAAAAACTAAGGACTTATTGGTGGTTCCGGAAGAAGTACACATATACAGCCCATAACGAGGCACTAGCCATTTGAAGAATATATAAACATGAGTGCCAAGCCCTATCTTAAAGCAATCATCGAATTTTTGTATATACATAAAAATAAAAATTCATAAAATTTTTTAAATTCATTTTTAATTCAAGTTGGCAAATAGATTTTCAGAGTAAACGATAAAACATTCCACAATAGCTGAACATAGATATGTATCTACTAAATTTATGTTTGAATAATATACTATAATATATGTATGTGTTGGCTGTAGCTTGTGGGTAGCTTTAATTATATAACTATATATACTTTTTTGTAAGTATGTGTGAGATATTTTTATAATAAATGCTTAAGCGCACCAAATACATACTTTTTATTGTTTGCCACTTTACACAAATTGGTTTAACTGTTAACTCTTGCCCTTAATAATATGTCATGCAATACTTGCTTTAACAAATAAGTACATATGTATGTGTGTATAGAAGTGAATGGAAAAATTGATATGGATTAGAAAGATTTTATTTAATGAGTTTGGTGAATAAATTCTATAATAATATGTATGTATGTGTATACACGCATACTGTATATTAATAAATATGTTTAGGTGCATATATGTATGTATGCAGTTTCAACGTCGTACAAACGGACATAGGTTTATAACGAGGATATGTGTGTATATTTACTTAGCATATATATGTATGTGTGTGTTCATATGTATATGTTACTATGCATATCCATGTGTGTAATGTATATATGTATTTATAATATAAATGAGCAATTCGACTAATTTGTGGCCGCTTCACTGATGCGTACACTTATCCTTCGATTTCTTTTTCCGCTCGTCGCCTGAGTTTGAGCGTCGCGTACCCTGAATCGGCATATAAGGCGGTGTGGGGCTTGAGCTTTTATCTGAAATGCAAAAAGGCGAAAGTAAGCATTAAAATGTACACGCTTTAGGCTGACAACCAAATACATATATACCAAAAGTACTCGACTGCGAGTAGTTCATGCGTGGAGCTAGCTCATGTCTGTTTAGTGAATCATGTGAATCGATGGAATAGTTTTCAGATCTGCAACAACAAAGATGTGGAGAGAATTGTACAATTATTGCTGGTGCAACGCATGCAACGTCACACCTACCTAGTCATTGAGTTGTGTTGCAACAGATGCGCATCACTGGTTGCGCTAATGTTCAGCGACGTTGGACGTTGCCCCGGGCGACAGCTGTCTACCGGCAATGTGTAGATGTCATCTTCGCCGCGATTGAGCAACATGCTGTTCGGATGCGCACCGATGCCATTGTGTTGACTGCCGTTGCTGCGACGCCCACCCTCACGCGACAGACTGCCATTGGTGAGTGTGCCATTTTGTTGTTGGCGTTGCTGTTGATTGTGCAGTACATCGATGGGATTCGAGTAGGCCTCCACATCGATGATGTCCGCCTCCTCCTGCTCCTCCGCCTGCACGTGCAAGCCATTGCGCGCTGCCGGTTGTGGCGCGTAGGAGAAGTTGTTGGCAGCGGCCGCAGTTGGCGAGTGTGCGGCATGTGACGAGTGTTTGCCAAATGAGAGGCAATCCTGTGGCAGCGGTAATAGTGGGCCGCAATGTAGCCCGTTTGATGAGCTGCCATTGGAGGAGCAGAGTGTTGTGTTGCCATCTTTCTGTTGGTGTTTACGCAGGCGCGCTTTTTCTTTGGCGCGTTTCGCCTTGGCGCGCTCCTGTGGAAAACGGTGCATAATTAATATTTATCAACAATCATATGGAAAGCAATAATTTACGCGATCTTGCAGCATTTTCGCTAGTTCTTTGTCTTGCGCCTCGATCGCCATCAGTCGATCGCGCTCTTCCTGTGTGAGTCCATCATGCGCCTCCATTTGCTGCAAACGACGCGCCAGCAGCTGTAATTTTAGACAGCTATATTATTTGCAGTTCAATTTGAAAATTGCAAAATGCTCACCTCATCCTTCTGCTCCTGCTTCAGCTTCTTGCTCATCTCCTTGATCTCCTCCATGGGCAGGCCGATCTCCTTCAGACTCGCATAATCACACGGATCCACATACAGTTCGATGTCGTCGGCGTGCGCTTGCATGTGCCGCTCAGCGGCCACGGCATTTGGCATGCCACGCCCACTGCCATCATTACCCACCAGCTGATCGTATTTCTCCGGTGAGAGTTTCTGAAATTTATGTTCATTTCTAAGCAAATTCTCATTGGAAACCGAATGCAGGCGATTGCTCAAAGCACCAGTTGATGGATTGGGGTGATTATTACTGAAAGTGTTGTGTATTGGTGATGATTCGGGTGTATGGCCAACAGCCTCACCGTTTAGTTGGCGTATGCTGTCTACAACATCCGAGTAATCCACCAACTCTTCAACTGGGTGCTGATGTTGGTGTAGCGGTTGTTGGTGCACACCAGTTGGTGTTGTTGTTGTTGTTGTGTGTGTTGGTGAGTGATTAGTATAGGGTGTATGTGTTGGGTGGTGCATATCGAGCGCAATGCGTTTTTGTTGCTGTTGTTGTGCGGCTGGTGCATGCAAGTGTTGGTGATTGTGCTGGTGTGGGTGTTGATGTGCAAATGTGGATGACTGTACCGAAGCGCTTGGCGATGCCATTATTGCTGCCGATGCTGCTGCTCCTCCCGAGGCTGTCGAACCCGTCGAAATGGATGACAATGAATGTTGATGTTGTTGCTAATGAAAATGAAATGAACTTGGTTAGTTTGTTAATTTTGGTGAGCTTAAAGGCAGGTGCAAGCCGCAACGTTAATAATTGGTGCTGACAAACTCACCAATAAGTGGCTGCTGCCGCTCGCTTGTGACTTTGCGGTTTTGCGTGTTGATGATGTTGGTGGTGATGGTGCATCTGCGGCGCTGGTGGAGGCTGCCGCTGCTGTTAGCGAGGGTGACTTTTGTATGCTTATGCCAACATAGCAGTCGGTTTGTGAGAAATGATTCTGTTGCAACAAATATGATTCAGGCGATGATTGTTGCAATTCGTGTTGTTGTTGTTGCTGCGGCTTGTAATATGGTTGAAATGCTGACTGTTGTGGTGTTTGTGGTGATTGTGACAATTGTTGATGACTTGATGTGTGCTGGCTACTACTACTACTRCCACCAAAATATCTACCATTCGATGTTGAGGGTTCATTTGGATTCTGTTGCAAGATACTTGCTTTAGCTGGACGTGGCGGTGGCAGTTGCGCCTTGCCACGCGTGGGCGGCGGCAAATTCACGTACAGCTCCTAGAGATGGTGCAAAATGAAATTAAATTAAGCATACACATATCTACTGCCGACTGGGTATATTTCTTGCCTGCATCTGCTGCGCCATCTCTTCGCTCTCTAACAACTCACGCTGTCGTTGCTCCTGCAAGTCACGTTCCAGCTTGTCGGCGATCTCCTTCGCAACACGCTTGTCATATGCTTCCCTGTGGTAATATAAAAATTTCAAATTTACTCCCAACGAGTGCCTTTTTATTGCACTTACTGCTCGAGCAAACGTCGCCGATACATTTCCACTTGCTTTTCCGCCTCTTCCTTCTCTTTGATTTGCTCATTCAGCGCTGTCGGAAAGTCTTCACGTACCACAGCATTGCGCTGCCGATTGCCTTTGTAGAAGTCATTTACTAGTGGCGAAGTAGTACCGGTCATAAAATGTTCATATGTATATATAATATGTAGGTTATATAGACTTACTCTCTTGAGACTGCAATTTATAGGCCAGTGCGCTGTCTTCACGTACCAGCCATTCCTTGCAAACTGCAATAAAAGACAGGAGAAAGAATTGATATTATTATTTAATTTAATAAAAATTTGTGAACACTAAGATAATGAGTCATAGAGTATATTTGTATATATAAATGGTATGATAAGTATGCTTATAAGGTAGTTATTCCTTTCGGTTAAAGAGGGCTTCTTAGGTTAGGTTGTGTTAAATGACTGTTCGCTCAGCAAAGCGTGAGGATCGCACTTGGACTGTGCAGCCCTTTGTGAAGCCAGACAAATAAAATCTGTAGTTTAGTTGGCTTTCGGCAAGAAAGAGGAAAGGAAACTCGAACATTCCTTGAATTTCTAGGTTAACACAAATATTGAGTTTTATTATTATACACAATATTTCTAATACTCCAAACTCATACATCGTCGTTTAGTATCCCTTTTATTTTATTATGCCAGTTTATATGATTTAGACCGATTTCGTAAGCTCGATATTTCAAGCACGAAATCCTATCCATAAACTATTATACCAGTTTCTGTAATTTATACTCGTTATTTAGTCTGCTCGGAACTACTCTCGTAGATTTGTTGAAAGAAGAGTTTCAGTCTGCCAATTCTTGTGATTTGAGTCAGCGCTTTTCCAGTTGCGCTACTCTAAAAGGTTTGACAAATCGATCAATTTGTAGTAGTTGTTTATCTCTTCCCTACTCTGGCATATCTAACGTATCAAACCAACTTTTATTTCAATATAAAAATTTGAGATTTATACCAGTTCTTTGTTGAACTTGACACCTGTAAACATTTGGAGGAACTTGCTACGCTCTATACTTGGCTCAATACCAGTTCTTTGTTTGACCTGCTACTTTTGTGTTTATTTTTGTAAGGAAAAGTTATTTTAAAGGCACATTGTTTATTATTATACCGCCTTATATTTGATAAATCGAAGCCATCTTAGGTAGGATATGACATTATTGCGATTTATACCAGTTGTTTGTTCGACTCTATCAAAATAGAAAATTAAAAACCTGCCTTCCCCTTAAATGAGACCATATGTTATATGTGTGCATACATATCCTAAAGGTAACTTTATACCACTTCTAAGCGCGGCCAACTCTCGTATTAAGTGCCATCACATCTTGTTAGTCATCGGACAACAGACAAAACAATTTAAACAGCTTTCTTTAGTTTTTTTAATGCCAACATTCTTATGGTCAATATTGCGAAATGCAGCGGTAAAGCAATACCAGATCACATCAGCGAGCGAAGTGCAAAAAATATGAAAGCGAAAAGAAGAGAGTATCGCTAAGAGCCAAAAAAAAGCGGCGATCATTAAATGGTATGTCATAAAAGCCAAGAATTTCTAAAAAATCACGTAAAAATGACTTTACAAACATATCTGTATACAAAAAACACATAATTTAGCCGAAAGCAAATATAAAATAAATTTATATTTACGAGTATTTGTGTACTTTGCGTGACTAATGATAAGTGACTAGAACACAGGTCACTCTAGCACGCACGGTCTGATGCAATAAACATTTCTATTTACAAACACATTTCTGTCATACTTTTTAATACTCTCCAAATGCTTGGTACTCATATTTGACACATTATAGCTGCATTTCGTTGATGATCCGTTGCGATCGTGCTAGACTGCTGTATTTTATTACTCCAAAGCCATAGCATAACAGCTCAACAAGTTTCATCATTGCTGTCGGTCATTAGCCAGGAATTTCTTTGTTTGATTTACTGGCCTCATTTACCTTAGGCACAGCTTTTCTACCTACAAGCAACCTTCTTGCCTTCCACCATGCACTGCTGCACAGGCGTGACTCACCCTGCCACAATGTTGCGGACAATCGGATGCAACTACTTAACGATCTCTGCTTTTTCTCAGCCACTTAACAATTTCAAGAATGTAACAACCATGTAAAGTATGGCTTAAAATATGCCCTGCAAGCGTTGCCCCTCAACAGTTTTTGATTGAAATTCACTGTAACTGTCGAATGACTGGTGTTTCGGCGTTTTCACCCGCATTTTGAGTGGCACTGACGCCGAGCGCAGAGGCCGACCCCGACAGGCTGTCACACAACACTGTGCTGCCTCTAACAATTTATCATAATTTTTGTGTGTTTTTCTTTTAATCCCTTTCCATTTTGTTTTTGCTCCGTCGAGCAAGCTCATTCGAAAAAATATTCATTCGTAAATAATGGTGCGTAATTTGACCGTGTTGCGTGAAAAGTGAGTGTAGAAATATGTGAGTGGATGCGTGGAGTGTGTGTGTTGGTGCATGACGAACTAAAAATTTCTGTGAACCATTTGAGGTTTCTAAATTAGCATAATTAACGATTAGGAATTTATTTGTGCGCTTAGAGTGGCTCTGAGTTTATTGACCACTTTGATTATGAATCATTAGGAGTTAATGATTTTGCCTAATTATGGAGGAGCGCAAATCAAAAATTATTTTGATCTTTTAAAATGCTAACCTCAGTAATTACATATGTATATGAATGTATATTGGGGTTGTTTCATTCATTAAAAAAGTTCATTGATTAACGTTAAACCTTCATCTGTGCATAGTCGAAACGAAATGACAGACGAATCGTACTTAGTTGGCTACGCGGACAACATTACAGCAGTAGTTACAGCAAGAGACACAGAAAGCATGAAGAAAGCTTAATCAGGTGGTACGGACGCAAGCAATGCTCGACTCACACTACGGAAAAAACAGAGCTACTACTGCTAACAAATAAGCACATACCCCTCGAAATAAATATGCAAACGACTACGAATCTTCTAAGCACACAAAATGCAGTAAACTAACCCAGACTAAACTTCTGTGTACAATTCCAGTACAGCAAAGTTCAGCTTCCAACTAAGGTATTGGTTAACATCGGGGCTCCAGCCAAGGAAAGAGAAAGATCCTAATGAAGTCGAAAGTCAGCGTCCTATTATACTTACGCTGGGCAGACGTGCTTAAAAAGGAAAACCGGCTTAAGGTAGTCGCCGGACAAACTTCAAAAGGTACAGAAGACGACACTGCACATTCAAAGAATATGTGCGTTGGCAACGAGAACGCCGTAGAAGACTTGGTTGACCCAATAAGCGCTGCTAATTTAAGCAGTGACGCAAACTGGGGGATTATCAAGAAATTCGCAACAGAAAGCGGGACCTGGGACGCAGGTGCCCAGATGTATCAATGAGAAAAATGAAACGCCATCTTGAAATAATGCTAATGTGATTATGGGATGGGCGAACAGATGATTCCTTAGAGGAGGTGTTTTTATTGATGCGTAAGTGGCACATAGCGTTGCTGTGACTACAGCACTAGGGATGCGAGTGATTTTTTTCAAGATAAATAGTCCTTAAAAACAAAACTACTTGTCTGAACTAGAGATTTCTTTGACGCTTTTGTTTGAGACTCCAATCCTTCGAATTATTTTCTCCGACTGCATATATTTTGTTGAAGGCAGAACCGTACTAGTTCACAGACTAAGATTGGCTAATTAATTTTTTTAAAAACAGTTCTTATATGCGAAACTGTAAAGTTAGAGACTGGTTTTTTTTTTTTAACTTTGGGTCGGTAAAACCCAAAAGCATGAAAAATTTCCTAACACGTAGCATGTTTTGTGGAGTAGACAACGGGTATAAGGCGAAAATTCTGAATAATCTGAACACCTCAAATACCCTACACATCTCTTAGCCCATCAGTCGTAAAATTTTCCTTCAGAAGTGTTATTAAATTATGCATAGAGGGGGAGTACTATCATTGAAAAATCTGAACATAGACCGGCTGTGAAGACACAGAAACACTATGTGGACTATTGATTAACGAAAGGCAGATATTTGTGCCAAAATGATTACAGTAATGTAGTTGAAAAGGCAATCGAATTTTGATAAAACCTTTTTTCAATTAAGCCTTCTAATAAACAATAATTATTATTAAAAAAATTGTCCTAAAAAAAAGTCAAACTCAATAAGAATATCTCAAATATAATTGACGATTGTCTTTTTCGAAGTTGTTTGGAATTATACAAATATGTATATATCAAAATAATAGATTGAGTAGCCTGAGCGAGTATAAAAAATGAATACACTAATTAACCCGAAGCATTCCTCGTGTCTTAAGAAACAGTTTCTAAGGTTTATATTTTCCCTTTATAACACTTGTTATATACCTTTAGGTCTTACAAATTTATAAGTTATAACGAACCGAAAATATAGTCAGAGTTGTATTTGCGTAAACTTATTTTAGTATGCAATCCAACAACAAATGTTGTAAACTTGTACAAAAATTTACGATTTTATGATTGTATGCTTTTCACTTGATGAATAATTTTTATACCTTATAACAAAACAACAATTTATCAATAATTTCTAGTTACAAAAAATCACGCTTCTGCTATGCTTTCATATACATATGTACATATATACATACGCATATAAGTTTGTCCTACATATGTATACCATATACCATATGTACATATGCATATAGTTTTTAAAAGATTATATAACATATTCTTCGCCTGTCATACCCAGTCATGAGTACTTTCGCGCCGCCTTCAAACGTGCCGCAACAACAATTCTTATTTATATTATTTTTCCAAACGATAACCGATTTTTTTACGTGTTTTGTTTAACACTTAGCTGGCCTTTTATGTGCATGAATAAGAACTTATCGCGTGTCCCACCAGCTTCGCACATGGTTATCTTCCTGGTACAACCGAATTGCTTATTGCAAACGTTAACTGACACACATTTGACCCATATCGCTCCACAGATATGACGCTTGCATTCTGTTGCGGTTTAACAGCAGGCATTCATACAAATATGGAACGACTTATCCACACACGTACATACATATGTATGTTGTGGTGAGTGTGCATGTGTGCAGGCATGACTAAATCTTATGAATGGGCACGAAATTTTTTAAATGTTTAGCACTCATTTTTAAGTGTCATGACTGGACAGCACCCACATTAAAACGGGTTAACGGTAAATTTGTATGTGGAGGTTTTTAATGTACATATATGAATGTATATTCT